GTGGGGGAAAAAATAAAAAACAATTAACCTCCTGCCACTTGAAAAATCTGAAACTTAAATCTTGCCACGGAAAATAGTGTTTTAAATATATTAGCAACCAGGTGGATTTTTAGAAGTGCCTTAGAGAATATTCTCATTGTGTGTAATGAAGGAAAATATCAAATTATCTCCATACACAATTCATATTTGCAGGCATTACAGCTTTTCTGGGGTACCGTCTTTCAAATGTTGCATAAAAAAATGCTGATAACCTCTTGTTTTGTCAGAAAACTCCCTACACTTTCTTAACAGCAGTAACTTGTGAACAGGTGAGTGAGTCAGATCCCAGTGAAACACCTAACAAATGAGGTCTGTAATCCCAAATGCTACCTTTGCTGCAGAAAGGTGAGCTCCCTCTACCCCTGCTTTCAGTGTGAGCATTGCACAGCCTCCCTTGGCTCTTGCTGGATCTTCTTTATCTGTGCAGACCGAGGGAAGGCATTATTTCCACCTCACACCCTCTTGACAGGCCTCCCAGGGAGTGCTTTTGTCCTGAATGGGTTACAAACACGTTCGTTGCTCACTAAAGAAATGAGACGTTTCTCTTTTCCCTCTGCCCTCTGCAGTCGGTACGAACATGAGGATCTGGCATCCAAAGAACATCCAGTAGTTTAACTGGTTTAGCTGTGTGCACAGCCATCTCCATCTGCACTGACCTCATCGTGACCGTAAGGCTCCCTGTACATTTGGAGGTCCGTAACTGAGCATGCGTGTGAAGGGGAATTAAAGTCTACTCTAGGCAGTGACTGCACAGCTCGGAGTAGCGATTACTTCATTCTTGGAGAGTGTGAAAATGCCACGGAGCCATGAGAAACTGGCCGCTCTGTACATGAACAGTAGAGGCTGTTTCACAATGCCAGGTTTGACGGTTAAATACGTTCTTTTTCAAAAAAAGAAGTTACAGTCTAGCATATGCGGCATAGGAGACCACCGACAAATTCTGACAGTCACATCCACAACAATACATTATATTTCTGCCTAAGTATGTCCTTTGCACCTTTCATGAGCTAAGCCTTTTTTTTTTTAACTATTTGCAAAGCAGTAATAAATACTCAGGCTCAGAAAATAAGTATTTCTCATGCCTGCTACTTAATTACAATTTATAGACTCAAGACTACATTGGTCTAAGACACATTTTTCAAGTATTCTCTTCTTGTTTATAGTACGACAGTAGTACCTTATTGCACATTGTTTCTGAAGGACTCTCTTCTACAAGCGTGAGAAATTATTTCGTTCAGGGCACTTGACAGCTTTGAACCCTGGCAAAATGACTTTCCCCTTCCGATAGAGGTCATCCTGCAAACCTTTGTTCATCCTCTGCACCAACAGCTTCTCGTAGAGCAGCGGGTGGTAGGCCCCTAAGGTACAAGCTGCATCGTAGTAGAGTTCGTGGTAGTGACAGAGGTCGGTCTGTCGGACTGAAGGGATGTATTCGTACACGTGCACTTCGTTACACATGGACATCATGATGAGGATACCTGGAGCGGAAAGTGAAAACAAAAGTGAACACCAGATTTCACCTTTCTCACAGAAATTTCCCTGCAGTTAGTTACCCAATCCGTTTTTCTTGCTTGCTTTCCTTTGGCGTTGCACAACTCAAGTATTACTTCTGTAAAATGAAGTGGAGTGATAGTTCCTTTTATTAGGGCAGCTTTCACTTGTCCCTGATACATAAAGATTGGTATCCCTGTAGAGTCGACGGGGCAGGACAACAATCGTAAGGAAAGAGTAGAAAGCCTATAAAGGGCCTACATACCACCTCCTTGAGTGAGAAGAGTGCTCTCTCCCCCACCCTCCCCCCTTTTACCCTATCCTGTCCGCAAAACATCCCACGCACCATCAGGGACCTGATGTAGCTGCATGCTGATTTTTCTGGAGTGAACTAATCACTTCTTGGTTTTCTTGTATCTTACCGACTCTTCAAGCTATTTCACAAGACAGACCAGGCCTTTACATTCACTTGCAGAATACAGAACACACACATAGAGACAGAGCAGTTGTCTGGTGTTTTTAAGGAGATCTTGGTATTTCTACCACTTCCACAGCTAAACTCTGACCTGCCACGTACAGGAGATAAATTTCCCAGGTATGGCCATTCCGTGAGTCCATGATTCTATCCTCCTCTGTGCTTTTGGATATCTAATATTTACAAATATTTACATATGCAATAATCTTAAAGGCTATAAAGAATCTGACCAATTTCTGGTTCTGTTCTGGTACACTGTAGAGAGGGGAAACAAGAACAGAAAAATGGGCCAGTATCACCAATGTTTCTTCCCTTGACAGCTTCTGGATGGTTCATTCAGATAGTTGACAACATTAGAGTATCAATGTACTCCTTGAAACACCTCCACCTTATTACAATGTTGGTCTTCCTTAGTCTGGAATTGAACCCATTCCACTTTTTCCATCCACTTGCTTCTCTCTAGTCAAGAATGTATTACCAAGACGACAGCCTAAATACATGCTGAAGGGCATATAAAGAAGAATCAGTCATCTGATTCTTGCTCAGCAAGGAGCAATCCATAAAATGCCAACCCATTTTTTCCTGCCACAGGTCAATGGCAGACTATCATCAGCACTGTCAACAGCGGCTAAGAAAAGCCACATGGAAATTAATTTCCTGTTTAAAGTCAGTTAAAGTTTCATTTTGACCTTAAAATGCAGTCCTAAGATGCTGTTACACTCCTTATCCCATGCTCAACATCAAAACCAGACCAGGACAGATACGTGGGCTTACGCAAACTTTGTTTCCCGTGGCGCAATTGTAAATCCGTACTAAGAGAAGGTGTTTATAGCTTTGAAACTGTTGGGGCTGCACATTTTCAAAAGGACCAATATCAGATACTGATCAACAGCACTGTCTAAAGTGCAATACTTCCACATTAATCACAGCTTCTGGGATCCTTTTCTGTTTCCCATAGCCGTGTGAAGGGAAAATGACGTCATAAGCATTGGACAACATTTCTTTCAAGGTTTCACTTAGAAATATGTCGATGATGTATTGAAACTCTCGTTGCACTGCTGGCAGCCCTATCCGTTGACTGTGACTGTCAGCTCTCAGAGGAGACAGCTGTACTAATTTTGCTCACTTTGCACTTACAAATGAGAACTGATGTAATTGTTGGGGTTTTTTTCCTGTACAACAGCTTTGGAATCACAAAGCATCAAAGGTGTTTTGGGTAATTCTCACAAGTGACATGAATTAATGTAAAAAATTATTTTGTTTCGTTAATTAAGCAAAGCCATTTTGTGAAGTTTGGTTTGCAGTTTGGGAACAGAGAGATTTCAATGGCTTGCTAATGAAAAGAACCTTATGTTCTCCCTGCTGTGTATCATTAGATTATCAAAATGATTTTTTCCCTGCCTGATGTGTGAAGTAACTGAAAAACAATTAGTTCTGTGATTAAATCTTCTTTTATCATAAATGAAAGGTTCTGAAAATGTTTTAGATTATCCTATAGCTTTAGACTCTACAGAGTCTACGGTTTCAGAAAAGCTAAGCCTATCAATTTCAAAGGAAAAGTCCACAAAGCTGAGTGAGCCTTAGTCTTAAGTGGCAAGAAACACGGATTCACAGAGTAAAAATATTTAATCCCTATTTGAGCAAAAAGCACAAGTTTAATAAACCATGTTTCCTTGCCTCGAAGCTGTTACAGAGATGCTCTGAACTGCAGCCTGCCTAGTAGCTACGGTCTGGAATTGTTTGTTTGTTGTTTCAGTTTTACAAATGCTTTCGTCAGCTTTTCCACTGCCCACTTCTTTCCTCCACTGATGGAGAGCCCACCTGCCACTCCAAGGTAACCGTCATCCAGCTGAATCAGAGGATGGAGGGTGGAAATGCGTGCAATAACACACTGCGTCCAGAAACAGACAGTAAAATGACTTCTCTCCTGCACCCAGAGCCAAGCCTGGAGCCAGTTTCAAAGGCTGTACCACCAACGTCTTAGGAAAATCGGCTCTGACGGCAAGTGGAAGCCTTAACCAGTGCGTGTTTCATTTCACTGCCGCATTACACAGCTAACCTTAAAGTTAGTAAAGGAAGTTGCCGTTTGCATGATAGGGAAACCGTCAAAGAACAAACATTGGGACTCTCTCATAATTTTCTTAATAACAGTAAAGATGGCCACATCACTGCCAAGTAACGACAAGATTCTAAGCAACATCACTGACTTATGGAGCACTTAGTGGTGGTAGTGTTTTAGGCACGCTCGGCTATCTTGTTTTGTCCCTGCCTTTCGTGCCTCATTCCACCCAGTCTGTGACCTGGGATTTCAGATTAGGTTGCCCATAAAGAACCATAATTTCTGACACTGAGCCAAGTTTTTGATCATGCTGGACAATGATGTTTTGAGTGAGGAAACACAGTGACTTGACAGGCTGTTTTCTGAGTGGTAACACCTAATTTACAGCACATCTTTGTGTTGAAGTCCAGGGTCAACCAAGTGAAAGATGACCTAGCCTACCAGATTACCACATACGGCGGTGTCCCTGGGCGAGAGGCTTATCTGTCCTAGTGGAAATGGGACCACCCCTGAGACTCCCAGATGTGCTGCACACATCAAATGCCCAAACCCTACGCTGGGGGAAAACAGTGATCGGTGTCAGACGACTTCTCCCTGAGCACCTCTAACACCATAGACCCCCCCAGCCAGAGAGACCAACAGTACAGTACAACCAGCATTCCCATCCCAGCCACCTATGGGTGAGATCCCAGGGCATGGAGGATTACACACTCTATCTATATGAACCCAAGTAGGTAGGTCCCTCCACTTAGCTGTCACAGCCCCCAGATTCTCCCTTGGAATGATCTGCTCCTGCTGTTTCTTTCAAAACAGAAGGTAGGATAGAATTGTATTAAAAAGGGGGGGGAGGGAGGCAAAGAAACTCTTTTCCAAAAAGAAGCTGTTTCTATGGATGCAGTCCTCACTGAAATATGGATGGGGTCCAGTTCTGTCCCGTGTCTTAGAGGATGTGAACCCCGCTCCACAGGGGACAGCCCGAGCACTGTAGAGCCATTACTGCAATCTAAGTTTACAAAAAACATTAACTGAGCACCCTTAAAAGAACAGCAGCAGCTTAGACCATGAGGACATTTACACCAACCCATGTACTAGGATACATTCAGGTTTTACTCTATTTAATTTCTAATGCGACGTCTGGCTTGTTTTCCCTAAGTCCCTAAAACAAGGCTGCCAACAGAACTCCCCAGGCCACGGATCTCAGCTTCCATCCCATGACTTTTAGTGCCACTCTTCAACTCAATATCTCTCTTTGCTTGGTGTTAACACTGCAGTGAGTTACTGACATCTGTATCCAGCAGGTCTGACTGTGCCAAGCTGTCTGTATTTTCGTCTACCTCACAACTCAGTTTCCCCATATGCCCTTCTCTCCCCCAGTTACCTTCAGTGATAATCTTTTTTTTTAATTACTAACAGCTTTTTGGCACGATACCTAATTTTTTTTTTTTTTTT